AGTGGGCAGCTTTACGGGGTCCAAGTGGGCAGCTTTATGGGGCCCAAATGGGTTGCCCACATCCCACCTAAGAAAAATTGTTGCTGGGCGTGAATTGGGGCCCAAGTGGGCAGCCCATATGGGCTGCATGTGTGGTACCCACATGGGCCCCACATTTTTTTATTTAAACTTTTTATAATGTTTTGAATAATTATTAGTTTTTATATTAGATACATATAATTTAATATGTAGTCATAAATATATGGCTTGAGTCTAGCTTTATAGAAGTAAAAAGGAAATAAAATATATAGACAAAAAGGTAAACGTTAATAAACTTTTTCATTTTTTCAATCTTTTTAGAGGTCATTAATTTTTATTTGTTTATTTTAAAGTTTATATTTTTGTCTTCTATTTATTTATTATTATAATGTAAGTATTTAAGTCTGTTTATATAGTTGCTTATACTTTATTTTGGGTTTTTATTAATTATTATTTATTTGTTAATTTTTCTATTTCTAAGCTGTTTTAATTTTCAAACTTCTGACTGGTGATAGTTTTAGTTTTTTTGATTGGTATATTTGTTTTTTAAGATTGCGCTCTTTTTGATTTTTTTCATGGTCACGATGAAACTGTGAGTATTCTATTCTACGTTGTTCCCACTCTGCTTTCCTAAAGGCTATATATCTAACACTTTCAGTTTTTTCTGCAGTGTTTCTATCAAAGTTTTTGAATTCTTTTATATTTTATGAATACATTTCTCCAGAACCCATTTGTTGAAATCGGTTGGTATAAGTTGTCCAGTAAGTTTTATTTTTTTGTCTATTGATTTGTACATGCCTACAGCTCTTTTGTACTGTAACCATTCTTCTTTTTTATATGTTTTAAATTTTATTAGTTCTTATTTACTGCAGTTTAGTCTATCAAAGTTTTTGAATATCTTCCAGTTATAATCCACTTTTTCTAAATGGTGCAATTTAAGAAATTCTACAGGATCCTCACATTCTTCTTCACTACTTTTTTCATCACTATCGTCATCATTACTATCATCGCCATCTTTACTAACATCGTCATTTTTTCAATCACCGTCATCTTTACTATTATCGTCGTCTTTATTATCATCATAATTGCTATCATCTTCTTCACTATCTTTTCCATTACTTCCACCTACTACGTTATCATCTATATCGTTTTTACTAGTATCCTTTTTGTTCACAGTTTTTGTTTCTTGATAGGTTTTTAGTTGGGACTCTATAGCTTTTTCTGTTTCTACTTTCTCCTTCTGTTCCTTCGATTCCTTTTTTTTTCCCTTATCCTCCGTCGTTGGATTTTTTGTTTCTACAAGTGGTGTAACTAAGGTAGTGCTACTAGTTGGTTAGTTAAATAAACTTTTAAGTGTTTGGACTGTGTTGTTACTTTCTATCATTGTCGTTGTTGTATTATTTTGAGCTTGGAAACCAGTATCTTCTTGTCCGGTGTAAATAGCTCTAACATCGTACCCTTTCAAATTAATTAGTCTAGGAACTGGTTTTACTAAGCTTTCCATAACTGCTACTATAATACTTGAACAGTATGGCGACTTATTTTTAGGTGTTTGTTTAAAAATAGGTCTAGTTGTTAAACGTTTCTTGTATCCTAACTCCTCCAATATCTTTCTGGCAGGGAATCTACTTTTTTTCTATTGGTAATCCTAGAATAGATATGGTAACTCTTTTACTAATGTTTCTACTTGGGGTAGAGTTGTAGAAACGTTGTCTTACACCGTTTGTTAATAAACCTTTTTCAAGAAGCGTTTGTTTAGCTTCGTTCGTCTTCATAACAATTTCAATAGTGGAGCCGTTAGGATTTGTTAAAAGCTGTATAAGTATTTATCGTAACTAGCATCTTCTATAGCTGATAAGATATCAAAATCACTATATTTGGTATTAGGTTTGCACAAGGTGGTGTTTTTGAGCGTGCGATATTCATTCTTTATGTTATTATTTATTGCATATTATTTATTGAATCACGTGCAGAGATTTTACCTGCAACTAATAAACATATCATAGTATATATATAATAAAATATTAAAAGTAATAGTCAAGTATATGAATACAAACCTTTAATTTATTAAGACATATCTACATTTTTGCTTGTGGGTTTATAAAAACTCAAATTTACACTTTCAAAACCTTTTTTATACATTAAAAAAATTTTTTTCAGTCTTTTAAAATGTTATATGCTAGCAGTACTTACTGAGCAGACAGGCCTTATAATTTTATCAATTTGCTTTATTTACGAGTTTTTATCTATAAAAAAATTTTTTTAAATTACTTTTCATTACTTTTTTTAATTAAATACTTATAAATACTTTGTCAATAATTAATAAGAACTACCTTAAACAAATAACATTACTTAGTTAAAAAGGTTATATCAATTTATTTTTTATCTTTAGTTTAAGTTCTAGATAGAAATATGTTATCTTTACACATTGCTCAATTATTTTAAAACATCTAATTTAAATATGACTAATTGTAGAATATAATTAGATTATTATACTATGCTGTTTTATTTGATTACATTGTATTTTAGATGAGTTTAAGAAAGAAAAATCAAAGTTCAATCTAAAAATAAAAGTTCAACTTTTATTGTTTTAAGCATCATTTTTACACAT